CTCCAGGCTTCTGGAAAGGGAAACAATCTCCACCTGGAGGTACCCCTTAGCATTCCGAAATCACTGCTTCCCTGGCACCACTCCCCACTTCATTGGGGAAAGGACACCTTAGACCCTGGAGGTGCTCAGAGGAGGGAAAAATGAATGCTCCTTTTGTCTCTGAATCTCAGTCTCTCATTTGGCAAAATGAGAGGCTGGTCCATCAGAGACAAGCAGCAGCTCTGACTGCCAACCTGTACCACTGCTGGATTTATCAGATGAATTTATCATCCTCATCCATGTGCTGTGGGATCAGAAAATCTCCTGTTGGCCTGCTTGGTCCAGAATTATTCTACCGTGCCTGGTGTATCAAAGACAGCTCCCCCAGATGAATCACCCTTTTACCCGCGCAACCACTCAGACAGCTCATACTGATTCATATGCTTCTCCTGACACCGAGTGCCCTTGAGTCATGCTATGTAGGGCTGTCCAGGTGACAACTACTTGGTGACCCTGCCTGTAGAGCTTAACCAAACCAAGGTCATGGTGATCCAAATCAAGTTATATGTTCATATGTGGGAGAGAGTGGCCCAGAGGATATCCATCCACTGTCGCATGTGGGGGTTGCTATTTGGTTCATCTCTGAGTTCTTGCAATGATTGGCAATGGCACCACTCTTTGGATTTCATTCCCTTTGTTAGTTCCCTAGGTAAAGAAGGCTATCCTGCCTGAGGGATATGTGGTTTTCTATTCCCATACAGAAGTGTGAGTACTGTTACCCAGCAAGAGCATCCACATTTTAGAGACAGGTCAGGACCCTATTCTTAATTTTAGCTACCATAGCCAACGAGATGGAACAAACCATAGAATATCAACAGGTCGGTCTTAGCTCCCTGATTGTAAATGGGTCATTGATTGACCTTAGACTACAGGCTGGCTGCATGGGGAAGAATTTGTATGGTTGCCAACTGTTCCTGTTGTGTTTGGATTAATATCCACGGTATGGTGGAGCAATCCATGCATACTGTAAGAAAGGAAGCTAGGTGCTTTTCTGAAATTTGACCTATTAGTCTTCTCTGTGACTTATTTAGTTGAGTCTGGGATCCTGGAGTGCATGGTTGAGGTCAATACTACAGACTGACCTCATCCCGTGGATGGGATTCTGTTGACAATAGCCGTAATCCAGTATTGACTGAAATAAGTGGAAACAGATTTGGTCCTAGTCCTTGTCAATATATCTAATTCAAGTTGCTGATGGGGTGCCATAATCGTATAAAAATTTAAGTTCAGCCAAGAATGTGCTAGGCTGAATGTCAATTATTGAGAGAGGGAGTCCACTGAACAACCCTGCCCATTCTTACTGACTGAGCTGAACTGCAAGATCGAATTATCTTCTCACCCTGAGTTGTTTCTACAGCTAGTCATATAGTCAATTAACAACCTTCACTGCCTGACCACATGAGGACCACAGCATTTTGAGACTCTGCCTCCTGGGGAAGGAGGATTAATTTGTTCACTGCTTGCTACAAAAGACACTGAACCCGTATCTCTGAGCTCCTCAGCTGCTGTGCAACTCATCGTATGTGTAGCAGCAATTTGTGTTCATTGTGTCACATCACAAGACACAAAGGCAAAGGAACTGGCATTAGCATGCTGATACTTGTGCTGTTTACTGTGCTGTGAGTAATAAGTGGTTTTCTCTGGTCCACTGAGTCACACTGTCTATTTCTAGCACCCACAAAATTGTGACAAACCAACTGCTTGCTTGCTAAGATATCTCCTTTGCAGTTTTGGAACTCTCTACCATTTTCTAAAGCTGGGTTTCTTTTCTGATAGTAACCACAGTACAGTCAGTAGATTTGACATTTGACATTAGATACGATGCTTAGATACATATGTTGGATACATAGATATCCAACACATATGTTGGATACACAATTTTCTGCTATCGGTTTTCTATTTTTGTCAACAATTTTTTTAAACTATAGTTTTTTCAGGAAGTAAATAAGCAAATTCCCTTGGGCTATTTTTGGTCATATTTTAAAAAATTAAATGTTTGAAAAGCTTTTAAGGTTCAAACTGAAGTTGATGTAAGGTACTTTTAATCTTTATCCACACAAAGATTGGTGTGTATTTCCTGCACTTTTGGAACTAAAGAAAATTGAAGAGATTATCTTTTCCGCTTTGTCAATCTATGGAAGCAAACATAACCTTGAGAGGTGAAGTGGTGTGCCCAGGTGCATCGCAGGAGGAAAGCTGGTTTCATATTTTTATTTTGCGGCCACTCTCTTCCACCTCCATTTCTTCTTTCCTCTTTGTGATGCCATTCAAAGTTACAATTGTAGGCAATAACAGGCTTGGGTACTTTTGAAGCCAATCAGAGTTTAAGCCAGTAACAGGCTTCAAAATCTCATTTATTACAGAAACCATAAAAACAGAACCATACAGAAAACCTTGGGAGCTGATGACTCACAGGCAAAGATCTCCATGTACCTAAATAATAATAATAGGAAACTCATCCCCTCTTCCAAGCTCCATTGCCTGAATCAGACATATGGAATCTATAGTACAAAGGCTCCAACTTCAGCAAAGAAGAATTCACGGAGAGGTGGAATAATCTGGTAGTTCAAAAGATCCAGACATGATCTGCCAATGCTTTCTTGATCTGCCAATGCTGTGAATATGGACTTATTTTGTTCAACATAATACATCTCTCTTTCACAAGAGAAAGCTTTGGTCATTACATTTATTGTTCACTAACAGAAGCTGGCCCTGGAGTCTGAATGGTGTAATCAGTCAAACCCAGAAATGAGTCCTAATTCTTTTTTTTGAGACAGAATCTCTCTCTGTCACCCAGGCTGGAGTGCAGCAGTGCATTCTCTGCTCACTGCAAGCTCCGCCTCCCGGGTTCACGCCATTCTCCTGCCTCAGCCTCCTAAGTAGCTGGGACTACAGGTGCCCGCCACCACACCAGGCTAATTTTTTGAATTTTTAGTAGAGACAGGATTTCACCATGTTGGCCAGGATGGTCTCGATCTCCTGACCTCGTGACCTACCTGCCTTGGCCTCCCAAAGTGCTGGGGTTACAGGCTTGAGCCACCGTGCCTGGCCAATGAGTCCTAATTCTTGAGTAGTCAAAAGAGCTCAGAAACTCCTGCTTGTGAAGGGATTCCTTAAGCAACCATAAGCAACCCTTAAGCCAGGAGATGAAAAACTCACACAAATGGTCTCCATTAGGGCTAGCACCAGAACCCAGGCTCTCTGGCTTCCAATCTTACATTCTTTCACAGGCAAATATTGTAATTGTTAGCCCTTGGTATTCTTACAGTTGAGTATAGATGACTTTTAAAATAAATCTATTTTCTGCAAAGATATTTCATTCAAAAACAGAACAATGTGCCAATTATAATGCCTATTCTTAGCCATGTAGAGTTTAATTCAGTGATTTATACCCCAAAGCTACATACATTTTTTTCTTATACTATCACTGGAAAACAAACCAAAACAAAAGTGAAAACCCAAGTAAAACAAAAGGGAAAACCCTGCTCTATTTTCAGAGATAGGAAATTTTAATGTCTTTTTGTATACCGAAGTATTTAGAGCATATATTTTAAATGAGTAAGAATAAGAGTTTAACAATCAATTTTAGGATTCTGATTAATGCCTAGAATTATGAGACTTTGCCAATTATTCAGTGAAACATTGAATTTTGAATATTTTCATGCCTAACTGGAACTGATTATCTGCAGTGGCTTTTAAACATTGCTTAGTGAAACCTTTACTCTGTGAGATGTTATAAGGTGTCCCTTGAAAAACTGGGCCTGTGCTCAGATAAATTGGAGAACTGTAGACCTTTGGCTTAGAAAATGAAATGTGTATGTATGCAACACACCCACACACACACAGACACACACACACACACACACAGAGAGAGAGAGAGAGAGAGAGAGAGAGAGAGAGAGAGAAGGGCTTTTCAAAGCCCTTTAAATGCTTATACGTATTATCAGTTCCCATGACCAAAAGAAGATAGGCCACATTTCCTAACATTCGTCTACAGAGCTTCTCATTCATGGATCACCATTAGCATTTCACTGTAGCAGTGTTCTACAAGAAGTTGGTAGAACGTGTGAAAACTGAAAACCTGGCTGGGAGCGGTGGCTCACGCCTGTAATCCCAGCACTTTGGGAGGCCAAGGCAGGCGGATCACAAGGTCAGGAGATCGAGACTATCCTGGCTAACATGGGGAGACCCTGTCTCTACTAAAAATACAAAAAATTAGCCAGGCATGGTGGCGGGTGCCTGCAGTCCCAGCTACTCGGGAGGCTGAGGCAGGAGAATGGTGTGAACCCAGGAGGCGGAGCTTGCAGTGAGCCGAGATTGTGCCACTGCACTCCAGCCTGGGCGACAGACCGAGACTCTGTCTCAAAAAAAAAAAAAAAAAAAAAAAAAAAAACCAAAACCCTTATTCAAAGGGTCATTTCCTCTGATTCTCTAATCATCAAATCTTAACATCTGAATTATCTCAATGTCCTTTTCATGCAGGCAAAATGCTGATGTTTGAATATTAGACTTCCAGTACAAGAAAATCTCTGTAACTCAAAGCCTAGAAAATTCTAAACTCATCAAGTTGTATACATTAAATAGGTACATCTTTTTGTAAGTCAATCACTTCTCAAGAAAGTGGCTTAAAAACTTTTTTGCGTTTGGTTGTACTGGAATAGCTTTCTCTGTAACCTCTACCCATTGGCTTTAATAAGTGGGGTTATGCTGGATAAGTCCAATTTCCAATTCACATTGCTTTAAGTATATGAAGACAGCTATGTTGTCCTTTCTGATCCTTCTATTTCCCAGGGTAATCATGAGCAATTATTTTAATTCCCTCTGCCATCTTGGTTATTCATCTCTGAACACAATCTAATTTGCTTATTTCATTCCTGAAGTGTATTGTCTATTAGAGTGAGGCGAACATTTCTTTGGTTCTAGACACTAAAATTCTGTTGATGAGACCTATAATTTCAATGGGTTAGATGGCTTATATCATCATATTGTTGGTCCATGAAATAAAATCTCCATGACTTATGTGCTACCACTCACATTCTATGTTTCTATAGTTGGATTTTTGGACTAAAATCTTTCTGTAGTAATTGCTGTATTTTTAATTTTAGCGAACACTTCTAGTATGCTTGGTTTTTCATCTTATCACCGAGGTTATCAAGCATTCTTCCGTTGATTGCAACTGTTAAGAGGGGAGTCAATTGAAAGTTTATAAACCGGGGCTAGAGGCCCTACTTAGGACGGTCAGAGTCCCTTCTAAGATTTAGGGCATTAGAGACCCCTCTCAGTAAAGTCCCTCTCGGCTAAGAACAGCTTTGATGCTATGGGATATTAACTGCTATTCTCTTGGGAATAATCTGTCTTGCACTCTTCGCTGATGGCTGTGGATGACAGGGTTGGACATGTACAGGACCGTGGGACATGGGGAGCTTTTTCTTCCCTAAAAGGGGAAACTTGAGAACTAATAGGAATGCTGGTAAAGATCCTTTTGCTACTGAGAAGCAGCTGCCTGAACTTTTACAGTGTCACTGCAACAGGTGGGTCTTTCTCTGGCCTTCCTGATCCTTTCACCTTCCCCACCCTGCCACGGGCAACGCTTTTCTCTCTCTCCCTTTCCTTTCCTATCTTTTCTGTTACTCAAGACAACTGTCTTGCCCAGAGACCACGTGTTGAAACTCCAAGTCAGAGGTTGGATTAAAGATGACGGGGCCCATCTGGGGGTAAATTTAAGGCTTGCTAGTTTGATATGGGTGCTAAGCGGAATGGCTAATGTCTATGTTTTATCACATGTACTTTGCTCTGGCCAGAATGAAAAAAAAAATTTCCTTTATAATGTGACTTGGCTTCTAGGGCAATGGTGCCACAAGCCAGATCACTAGGGCTGCTCAGGGAAAGGGAACCCAGAAGCCTGGCATGCTGGCAAAAAAAGTGAGAATTTCTTACCAGTCAGATTTCTGTCTTCTCCCTCTCTGTGCAAATGGTTGAATGAATGGCAATAAAATAAAATAATCAGTGTTTATCTCCTCTGTAGAGTTTTGATTAATGCAAAAAAGAATTCTAAGGCTATTCTTAAGCTGGTGCATTTTGTGTTATGAGGTCGTTTTTCTGTGTTGAGGGATGCTTTAGGATGGAACACGGGCTTAGAATACCTGTAAGCCCCAGCAAGCTGGTCAGTAAGAAAGTTGGCTGGACGTCCTTGAAACCAACCAAAAAAAACTGGATGAAGTTTCCACCTTGGGAGCTTGACCTTTTAACCACGTGGCAGTACCGTCTCTTGGTCTCCACCTTCAAGGGAATAGGAATTTTAGGGTTCATGTCATAGTCAGCTGTAAAAATAATATTAAATAGTTACAAGCCTTTGCAAGCTCAAAATTAACTACTCTAGACTCTTCCTGGGAAGGGAAATGGAGACTGCCCTGCATTGTAGCTCAGTAGCCAAGGCTTTGCATTTTCACAGTGGTAGTCCAGGTTCAATTCCACCTAGAAAGTGAGTCATTTCACGTTTAATATTTGCGTGAACATGTCTATTTTTTTCTCCTCCATGAATTGTCTGAAATTTTCCTTTCTCTAAGCACCAGTGCTGTTACCATTGGTGAAGGTCAAAAGCCAGAAATACTGGCCATTTGGCATAAGAAATTCTAAAAGAACTTTATTAAAGAGTGCTATGGTTAATATCAGTTTAATTAAAAGTGGACATTCAAACTCTGTCTGGACTCCTTGGAAAAAACAGGAGGCACCAGAGATCCCTTTCCTGGCCCTGTTCTTCCAAGGGCTCCACCCTGAAGCCAGTCATCCAATTAAGAAACTGGCAAATGAAAATATTACAAGTGCTGAATCTTCTGTCTGTATATTTATATGTGTTGTATGTTTATATATAAAAGGGCTCTAATTAATTGGCTTAGAAAAATAAGCATTTAAATAAAATATTTCAGCAGAAAAATAGAAACTTTAATGCTTTTTTGTTCACATGACTTTACCAATATTTTGGAAATAAAGACAGTTTTAAAGATGATTGGTAAAATAAAATGTCTTAAAAATGTAGACATTTGGTCTAAATTAAGGTCAGATTTCAGACTTGCTAAATGCTTTAATGTCAAACTGTTTCTTTGACTTTTGAAAATTGTTCAATTTACCTACTTTAAAGGCATTAAATTCTAGATAAGACCTGGGGACATGGGGAATTTGCCATACCCTCTAGCTATACAAAGAAGATTATAAAGAAAGATTTTATATAAAAAAGGATCCTGTATGATAAATTCTTGTCTTAAAGTAAAATAACTGGTTGTTTAAAAGAAGGGATGTTAAGGGCAAGTCAGAAAGTCCACAAATGTCTCAGATGTTCTATGTAAGTTGTGAAAGGATTTGTGAAAAGAAATTTATGCAAGAAATGTTGTACAATTCAAAGGTTGTTAGGTCTCCTAAATGCTTCATAAAATGCCACTATGACTCATACTGTACAACTTGCCTGCTTTACTGCTAGGTAAGGTCTGGGGACATGTGGAGTTAGTCATGCCCTTAACTATGCTAGAGAGCCAGCTCTTTTCTGCACTTCTGCCTGGTGTGTTCTGGGCTAGGCTTCACACCTAGTACACAATTAAAATCTCAAATTTACCAGGGTTTTCATCAGAATAGAAGTTGCTAAGAGTTAACGTTATAACATGTAATTAAAACTACTAAAGAAACAATTTTACATGCAAGGTGTGTAAAGAAAGTAAAATGTGTTTTTGCTGAAAAATTATAAGAAGTCATAAGAATGTGAATATTTTCTGCTTAAAGTGTTAAAGAATTATTTTAAGTAAGAAAACAACTAAAGATTTAAGCAAGTTGTGGAAGGTTTATAAGGATTAATTGTAAGAGATTCTGTATGTGAATATATTGCCTAAAAAGGAGTATTATTTAGTTTTTCCATAAATTCAACATTGGAATAAAAGCACAATAGGTTTTTCTTAGAGCACTGATCTGCTCTTACATTAAAAAAATGTAAAGGGTTACAAAAGGTTTATAAGGATCTTACCTTATGGTTAAACATTAAAATTGGGTAAATATGTCTATAAGATTTTATTAAAAATTAAGTTTAGCATTAATCGTACGTTAATGTAAAGGTGAAATTTGGCTTATTTGGCATAAAAATCATAGAGGAAGCATTATCAAATGTGAAATGGTGTTTTGCTTGCTTTAGACTATATTTGCATAAATGTGTTACTGGTATATGTTCCAAAGTTATGGGAAACTCCTATAATTCTAATATGACTTAGTGTATGTTATTAATAATTATAACTGTTGTGTAAAATTTTGTGTGCCACAGAAGTAAGCAAATTTCCTTATCAATTGTGGCTTTAATAGTGGCTGTCCTAAAACTTTTTATCACCCACAGAAAATTGTTGTCTTGTTTTAATCCTCTTTAGAAGGTGATTTATAATCAGCTATAAAACTGTAACAAGTGTTCTTAAATGCAGGTTTCTGATAACTTTGGAAATTGTAACATTAGAATAGAGGAAACAACTTTCAGAACTTTAATGAAGAGCTGGACTGTTCATGAATATTAAGCAAAACAGGAGTCAACTAAATTCAGTAAACCAATAAAACTAAAGTAATCTTTTAAACTTTGCTTAGAACATTGCTGATTCTTTGTTTTGTTTTTCAGAGTCAATAAAACTTTTCTTTTAAGCTATTTACAGCTTTTAACAGTTGACTGTACTCCTATGAACAAAATTTGGAGCATATTTATTTCTCTCTACCTGATTTCTACAGAATTTGGAAACTAGTTGTGAGTATTCTTAATGCATGACAGTATAGTTATTTGCACAGGTGCAATAAAAATCTGTTGTCTTTTGTAACAGGACACAATTGGAGAAATTGGTTACCTTGCCAAGGCTTTGACTGGAATGGTGTGTTTTCTTTTAAGGAATTAAACTTGACTTATAAAGCCAATAAAAGCCCCTTGGGGAACTGGCCTCATATTTTGCCTACACAGTCCCTGTTCAGGGTTTCTGACCTATGTTAAGTAAAGAACATCACTTTCTGTCAGGTCCAGAAGCCTGAAGTTATCTTGGGACTTCAAGAGGAAGGAAATTGACCCAACTCATAGGTATTTGAGGGTACAAACCCGTGGCTCAGCTCAGCTAAAAAAAGTCTTATCTGAAATTCCTTCTATGGAATAGAGTTCCATCAAAGCCAATTTAAAAAGAGCTTATGTGAAAAATAATTATTCTTGCTGCACTTTATACAAATAATCAGGCCATGTATAATAAAGCAAATCAGTCTTACCATGATTTGTCTATAGTAAAAATGGGAAACTAGAGAGAGAAATATTATGTTTCAAAAACTATTGTACACTTGTTATTAAATTCTCATTAGTTGTTTTTAAGTTTGTTTCCACAATTTAGGCTAATTCTGTTTATTCCTGTAAACCAACCAGTAACATCTGACTGCTGCTTAGAAAAAACAAGAGGGATGGGTAATGTAAAAATCTAAATCAGTATTCTAATTCTGGGCACATTACAAACAGCTAACAACCCCGTATCAGCTTAGTTCCAACAGTTGTCCAGTTCATGAAAAGCCTTCTCATTTATTTTACTTGGAATAACTTTACATATTTTGCTTTATTCTTGTGGAATATATTCCTGTTATACTTTTTGTGTAGGAATACAGGACAAGCTGACTGAATGTTTTCTTAAACTAAACACTTATTAATCTTCCAGATATCATCTCTTGTTGAAACTCAAGATTCATGAATGGCCCTCGCCATACTGATGCTTTCTGGCTGAACTTCTCTCTATCCTGAACACAAGAGCCCATAATAGCTAGGCAGGAATATTATTGCCCCTATTCAGCCTGAAGAAGTTACAGAAGATGGATTTTCATCTCTCTGCAACTCTTAGGATTAAGGATTCTCTTATAAATGGGAGGGGGGAAATGTCAGAGGCATATGAACCAGAACAACTCCATCTAGAATAGGAGCTGAATAAAATGAGGCTGAAACCTACTGGGCTGCATTCCCAGACAGTGAAGGCATTCTAAGTCACAGGCTGAGATAAGAGTTCAGCACAAAATACAGGTCATAAAGACCTTGTGATAAAACAGGCTGCAGTAAAGGAGCCGGCTAAAACCCATCAAAACCAAAATGGCAACAAGAGTGACCTCTGGGCGTCCTCACTGCTACACTCCCACCAGCACCATGACAATTTACAAACGCCTTGGAAACATCAGGAAGGTCCTCTATATGGTCTAAAAAGGGGAGGCATGAATAATCCATCCCTTGTTGAGCATATCATCAAGAAATAACCATAGAAATGGGCCACCAGCAGTCCTCAGGGCTGCTCTGTCTATGGAGTAGGTATTCTTTTATTTTTTTACTTTCTTAATAAACTTGCTTTCACTTTGAAAAAAAAAAGTTTATAAACCTACCTCATTGTACCAGTATCTAGATCATAATTAAACATAGGATAGTATTACAGAAATTAGTAAGAGCTTGTCAAATCTATTGTTAGAAACACAATTGGTATAGGGTTTGCCTAATTTCCTGGTCCAACAATTTTCTAAGAAAATAAAATTTATTTTGCCATAACTAATAATAACTTGCCTTTCAGAAGTTACTTGCTTTCTTTCTAAGTACTTTCAAAATACATTTTAATGGTTTAATCCAGGTTCTAAAAACGATTTGTACAAAGCTAAATATTCTATGGTTTTCAGTTGCTACAATATTCCCATTAAACTTAAGACTTTATTTCTTTACCCTCATTTTCCAGGAGTCCTTCCATTCTTGTTTGCTTTGGAGATTATGATTTGTGTTTCATTGTAGTTTGTCTACAACTCCTCTTAATGTTTTAATACCGCCATGAGATTTGACCTCATTCGGAGCCTCCTGGGGTTCTCTAACAATATCTTCATCTTTATTGGCCTTTAATTTTTTTCTTAATAATGTCTGAAGCTGAAGGTCATTTTATTTTCTAAAAGAAGCTTGAAGTAA